TCTTTGAGGTGGTTGAATACCAATTCTATTGTAATGCTATGTAGTGAAAAAATAAAGGTTTCCCCCCTATTTATATGTAATACTTCAGTTTAGAAAGCAAGAAAATGCTTTGGAGAATGAGGGAGATGCTCATATAGTTCCTGTCTGCAATGCCTTAATCCAGCTGAGTTTTTACATAGCAGTCAATCACCTAGCACAAATTTTGTAGCAGTTGCAGATGGCCAGTTTCACAGTCTCGGTGAAGCATTGCCAAACCCCGGTCTCAACTCAGTTACTGTTATAATCACGATTTTTGTTTTAGATCCAGCTGTGAAAGCAGAAGTTACAAGAATGAAGGATCAGCTACAGAGTTATTCCTCGCAAGTAATAGGGAGAACAATTGTTTACCTAAATGGTACGACTCATGCTTGCCGTTTTCATGAGTGCAACTTGGGAAATTTAATTTGTGACGCTGTGGTAAGGAAGTAACAAATTAGAATACAAATAACTGGTTCTGTACTTGATGATCTAAACTATAGTTAAAGGAACATTGTTACTGTGTGAGGCACACACCCTTAATGTTGAAATCAGGGAAGTTCCATAGTCTCAGAAAGACTATTGAAGTGTAGAATTAATCCTGAAGTTCTATTTATGCACAGTTTAGTAAAATGTGTCCAAATAACCTTAGTAAACCTTAGTAAAGATTGGATCTAAATCAGAAAGGAGTAGCTGCTATTTTGCTCAACAGTTGCCTATAGTTGCAGGGTGATGATAGATCGGGGTGCATAGGCCTTGGCTTAGAAACCCCAAATAGCCTGGCAAAACCTCTACCATGTCTGATTTTAGTTTCCTATCTTGCTTCCAAGCCCTGCCTCTTTGTCCTTGTCTTGCTTTATTTATATCATGGATGCCTCAGAATCTGATTCTTCTCTTGATTGGCTTGTCCTTTGTCCTCTTCCTTGCCAGCATCATTTCCAAAAGTCCCAACCAGTTGTCTGCCTTCTATGCTTCATTCCTATTGCTGCTGGCCTTGGTACCAGCCCTAATTTCAGGTCCTCCTCAACCTGCTCTGTTGTCACAATCTCCATCCCGCCACTGTCTTACTAACTCCCACTAGCCTGTCATGCAATGGTGCTTTTTGTCATAGTTGCACCACTAGCCTGTCACGCAATGGTGCTTTTTGTCACAGTTGCATCACCCTTATTGCACAGTTCTTGACAGGAGTAACTATTGGTATTAACAAATGTATGCACCTGGAAATCGTATTGTGCTTAAAAGAAGGGTGCCCAGCTCGCAGACAAAATGGAGTCAGCTGGGAGGCCCAATATAACCCAACAGTTTCTCCCTCAGAGCCACAGTTTCTCTATAGTCGTTACCCCACTTCTCACTTTGCCTCAAAATGGGAAATAATCTTTATCTCTGATGAGGAGCAGCTCAGGATTAAGGTTTCTTTTCTCAAAAAACAACAAATACCCTTCAGTAAGGCTTCCAGAAGTATTGTTAAAGGCAATCTAAAAGGAAGCTGCTATTGAAGAGAATGAGCTAAGCCCTCTCTATTCAATTTTATGTCTTTCTCCAAAAAAAAGTATTTCCATACAGATAGCAAAAGAACTCCCATTGGCATTAGTGGAGGCTCTTTGAAAGCCGCATTGCCAGATAGAAGGGGCCCTTTTGAGGGAGGGGTGCTACAAGGAAGGAAGATTTGTAACAAAACTACTTTACTATAGGCTTGTTTGGTTTTAGTGGAAAACAGCTATGCTGTTAGAGATCATCTCAGGAGTTCTAGTTTTGATACACCGATGACCTTAAAAGCTAAGTGAAAAGGATAGTGGAAGATGGATTCACCTTTTTTGTTCTTTATGAATGTTTTTAGGTTTACAATAACTTAGGACACCCAGATGATAGTGAGTGGAATCATGTTTCCATGTGCATTGTAAATGGTGGTGGAATACGGTCACCTATTGATGAACAAGCCAATAACGGTATGTGCAATTTCAAGAGCTTTTACACAGTGCCACTTCAATTTCCCTTCGTTTTATATCAATATTTAAGTTTGTACTTGTATCCACTCTATTCAACTACTGTCACAGTTTTCCAAAATCCCTCTTTTGCAACTTCCTTTATGGGAAAAAAGCCCATTCTTCCGTTAATATTTAAAAACTATATCAGGTTGGCCTTTACAGAGCATCTTATTTATGTTTTTATTACTTTGCTGTAAATATCTTATCCAACCCCCCTGTGGCACTACTAGTTTTTCTCTTGGAAAATCATCTAATCATTTTATACACATTGAAAAACAGTGCTTACAAATTTTCTGATAATGATCTCTGGTCTATGACTGTAATAAATTCTGATTGATTGTGATTTTCTGATACTTTAAACTGCACATTATTATGTTTTTATTGTGTTTAACTAATTCTTTAAACGTAATTTAATTTTTATACTGCAGTGCACTGGAGACCATGAGATGGCACGGGTAGAAACCACAAAAATAAAATTAACATTCCTACTCTTCATATGAATGATTGATGGCCTGCCACTTTTAGCCCAAGATGCAAACTAGATGCAATTCTAAGATGCAAAGTGGAGTGGAAGATAGTTTAGCCCTTTGAGGTCACCTACACAAAAAGCACAATTGCAATATCTTTATTGTAATGTTGCATTAACAGAATCTTTCAAATAGGAAAACATTTTTTCCCTCCTTTCCTTTTACTTCCCAGTAAACTAGGGAAGATCCCTTCTGAGCTGCTCCTCACATCCCTTTTTCTTCTGAGGGCTGAGATACCTTTTGCATGATGGCTTTTCTAATCCTTGGATCTTGCTCCTGTCTCCCAAGGTGATTCCTACAATGCCATTAGAGATAAGGACTAGCCTTAAGGTCTGACAGGGAGTCTCATTGTGGAATAAGGTTTGAACTCCGCTCTCTTCTATTTAAGCAATTCCACAAAGCTTAAAAAGGAACAAAATTGTGCATACTATGACTTACTACTATGACTGTTGTGTTCTAATCAGGCATTATTACCTTGGAGGAACTGACAGCAGTTTTGCCATTTGGAGGAACTTTTGACTTGCTGCAGATCAAAGGTTCTACTCTAAGACAAGCATTTGAGCACAGTGTTCATCGACACGGCGAAGGCAATGGGGAATTGCTACAGGTCTCAGGTTAGCTATCTTCATCCGTCGCCAGCATCAAGTGCTAAAATCTTTTTCATCAAGCATTAACAGTTCATCTTTTCCTGCTCAACCCCTCCCCTCCTGGGGGTGGCAGGAAAGAATGATTTACAGTAATCTCCAGCATGGGCATCATCCCAGAGGTGTAGTGTCACTAAGGAGTCAGGTAACCGGAATAAGAATCTGTCTCAGACTTCCAGCTTGAGTAGCATTGGATGTAAACAAACACAACATACTGGAGGCCCCAGTACTCACCTTTCCCTATGTTGTTGCCAAACTGTGAGGGAGAGTCGGGGGGAGGCAGCCAAGCTTCAAATAAATAATGCTAAACATCTCAATCTTTGGTTGAAGTTTTCATGGGGATGTGCATCAGAATAATCTGAAGCCCAGATTCCAGGCCAGATCAAGTATAATTCAGCACAGACCTTCATCTAGCCTTGGTAGTGGAGATGAGAATCCCTCCGACCATGTAAACCCCTGCCCTCATTTCTTTCCCTGGAGCTACACTGTGTTGCTGCAGCCACATCATAAATAAAATGTTTCAGGATTTACATGCTGGGATGTAAAGATGATTGTGAATGGCAGGTCAGTTCTTAGCATTCGACTGTTTTTGAATTGGAGGTGAGCAGATGAGAAACACTTAAGTCATTCATGCCTTTATTTACTTAATGAAGGTCCACTCAATAGCGATTCATGCAGTGGTGGGATTCAAAAATTTTGACTACCATTTCTGTGGGCATGGCTTGGTGGGCATGGCTTGGGGAAGGGTACTGCAAAATTTCCATTCTCTCCCCACCCCACTAACCTGCTTTCCAGCTCCGTTCTCCTGTGCAGGGCAACAAAAGAAGACCCAGCCGATCAGCTGGGGCTTGGAAGGCAGAGAATAGATGGGGGCAGGGCCAGTCAGAGGCGGTATTCAGCAGGTTCTCCGAACTACTCAAAATTTCCGCTACCGGTTCTCCAGAACTGGTCAGAACCTGCTGAATACCACCTCTGGATTCATGGGAAAACAGCAGTTGTAATCTGAACTGATTTATGGTAAATTCTTATAAAGTGGAATTAGTAACTCCTAGTTTTTAAAAAACTCAAAAGTAACAATTACGTTGAGAAATTATGTTGTCTATTACTTTCCTATTTGGTAAGGTACTTTTCCATTTTGTAATGCTGCAGGAATATATTTATTTTATTTCCCTGCCCCAATTTCCACAAGCAGTAAAGCTAGAAATGCACTTGCATATTACATTGTAAGCACTCCTAGTATGGTTTAAAAGGTGCGGTGGGGGGGGGGGTGAGGGAAGGCTGGACATGAAGTTGTTTTCAGAAGAATCAATTTTCCTATAGAGGTTCTTGCTGGAGGAAGATAGAATTGTCAGAGGGGAATTTCCTGTAACCAGCACATCTCCTGTGCTGATGGTCTATGCCAATGTGGAACAGATGCAAAGTGCCACCGTAGAATGAATTAAGAATAACTTCTCCCTTTCTGCTAGTTGAAGTGTTTTGCACGCAGACTTGAATCCATGGTACTGTGAATCTGGTTTTACCATTTGTCCACCAAACCCTTAACCTTAACCCCAACCCACCAAAAGTCATGAATAGCACAACTTTTAAAGATATTTTTAGAGATACAAACCAGAGATTTGCAATAGATGGTACCTAAATACTTGTGACTTTTGTTTCTTAATAGGCATAAAAGTGGTGTATGATCTCTCCCAAAAGCCAGGGGAAAGGGTGGTCAGCTTAAATGTTCTTTGCACAGAGTGCAGAGTACCAGCTTACGTGCCGCTTGAGATGGAAAAGACCTATAAAGTGCTTTTACCTTCTTTCCTTGCTGCTGGCGGTGATGGATACTACATGCTAAAGGGGGACTCAAGTAACCACAGCAGTGGTAAGTATTAGCCTTCCTGGTGATTAGCAGATGGCAATGTAATTAGAACGACTAATTATGGAAGTACTGGAGTTCATATCCCTGAAATGAATCTTTACAACGTAACTAAGGACAGTATTGCTAACATCCCATAATTTCTATGTTCCCTTTTTCAAACTGCAACAAAATCTAATATGATTTGGGCCATTATGCAAATGAGGGAGAATAGAACTGCAAGCAACTTCACCATTTTCCTGTAAAGCAAGATTTGAGATAAAAATACAAAACTTGATCAAAGGGTCATCTTCGATGAAGAGCCATGGTAGCACAGTAGTTAGAATACAGTATTGCAGGCTAACTCTGCCAACTGCCAATAGTTCGATCCTGGAGGGCTCAAGGTTGATTCAGCCTTCTATCCTTCCGAGGTCAGTAAAATGGCAACCCAAATGGTTGGGAGAAATAGGGGAAAATATGCCCTGTAAACTGCTTAGAGAAAGCTGTAAAGCACTGTGAAAATATATATCAGTCTAAAGTGCTCTTGCTATCATTTTCGTGTCTTTTACTTCCAAATAGAATAATCAGGCAGCATTTGTGTTCAAGGTATTAACACAGGTTTATTTATAAACTAGCTAGGAAAATCTACTTGTGTATCAAAAATGCAGTTGGGAGAGTAGATCTCAAGTTTCTCTCTAAAGAAACATTTTCACTGCTCCTTTCTATCTGGTGGCATGGTTGGTGCTGCCTCCTTATTCTACAACACCAGCAAAAAACCTCTTAAGGCTGCAGACGCTGCGTGTGCAGTTTATAAAATCTAGGAATAGAAAGACAGAGAAATCTTAATATGCATGAGATCAACAGCAAGGACAGCGGCAGCTATTCAAGAAAATGCACACTAGCATTCGAATGGCCATTCTGCTCTGTCCTGAAAACACAACACTAGTAGAATTGCCTTGCATGAGATGGGCTGCTATATAGATTTGATAAACAAACTTTGAGTGCCTTCCATTTCAAATAGCAGTAAATGGATCCTGTGCATGTTTCTTTTTTTTAAAAAAAAGAATACTAAAGTTAAAAGCCAGGTTTTCACAGTGACTTAAAGTATTTGACTGACATTGGGGTGTGCCGGTTCAAATGCTTACTCAGGAGTTAACTTCACAGCAGAGTACTGAGTCAGTCAGTCACTATTCTCAATCTAATCTACTAAAAACTGGGCTCCTGGGTGATATAAAATGAAGGTTGCATGGGAACAGAGCCACGAGATACAATTGGCTGCAGATTCCCTGGGCAAAGTACATATGTGATTACTTTTCAAAAATGAAATTACTCTCTTTACACCATGTGACTTCCATTTGTTATAAAAATAATGTAGTAAGGATTCTAGACTTTGAAGGCAATCCTAGGAGTATACTACCATAATAGAAGGCAAAGAGAGGTAAGATTATTGTATTGTACTAAGACAAGGAATTTCACAGTGGCTGTGTCCAGAACACGTTTCATTTTTTGAAATCTTTTTCACACAGATCACTTATAGGCAGTCCATAATTGGCTAATGTGGAATAATTATTTTAAACAACTTGTTTTAAACAGGTAATCTTGATATTTCCATTGTCGGTGACTACATCAAAAGAATGGGAAAGGTTTTTCCAGCAATGGAAGGTCGCATAATGTTTTCGGCTGGGACTTTGTTCCAAGCACATCATTCTTGACCTGGGGATTATGCATTTCACTTTTATATTTCATTCTTTAATTTCAAACATATTTCAGACTCTTTGGTCAACATTTAGTTCATGCACTCTCGGAAGCCAGCATTGTGCGAGCAAATATATATATATATATATATATGGGGGACATTGACAAATGGCAGAAATATAAATTGAAGATTTCCATCTGCATCTGAATAACAGCACAAAGCATGGTTGGAGAATTTCAATGAAGTTACTCATGAAAAGTGGCCAGTGACAGTAAATGGTGTTATGCAACAATTTCTGTAAAATCTGTTTAATAAAAAGAACATTCTTTCATTTTTGGTTCTGTACATGATCTTCAGTTAATGCAAAAGTCATCATGAATGAAGTCCGAATAATCTTTCAAAGTCATGTTCTGCATTTTTCCTTAGTGAAAATTATTCAGAAGAACAAATAATGGGCTTTTCCTGAGATTCAATAAACAATAGGCTTTAATCAATCTTTTTTGAGTAAAAGTTTTTGTTTTCTGAAATAAAGGTTAATTATATGTACAAACAAATATACAAGACTAAACAAATAACCTAGTCATTAAATTAGCACACAGCAGTCATCTATGAAACGGAGTTAATTCAGTATCTTGATGTGTATGGGATCTTGATAAGATAAAGGAGCCATTCTTTTCAACCTGTGAAAAATAATGGAAGAGGGAGG